GTGATGCATGCCCTAAGGTCAGGACTGAGATTGTTAGTCCGACTAGTCGCTCCTTTGTTTTTCGACTGCAAACCCAGTATTCTATGGCATGACGAGCGTCGACAATGCCCTAGATTCCACCTCAATCAGCTACGTAGACTATACGTCCGAGCTACAGCTACCGTCCATTATTCACCTTATTGAAAATGACCTTTCCGAACCTTACTCGGTTTACACGTATCGATACTTTATACACAACTGGCCAAACTTATGCTTTCTGGTATGACAGCAACGCATATACGAAAGCGAAAAGGACGAACATTTACACAGGATATAGGCAATGGACGGCGACACATGTGTGGGCGTCATTATTTGCAAGCTCGATTTGCATCGACAAAGTAATCGTGGCTACATTGCCATGCTGGCGGTTGCCAAAGAATATCGTAAACGGGCCATTGGCACGACCTTAGTACAAAAGGCAATTCGAGCAATGAAAGAACAGGACGCTGATGAGGTAATGCATGGTTTTATCTTTGTATACTTTTGTATACTTATACTATCGCTAGGTTGTCTTAGAAACTGAATATACCAATCAAGGCGCGCTCGCATTATATCAACGACTCGGATTTATCAAGGATAAGCGTTTACATCGATACTATCTTAATGGTGTGGATGCATTTCGACTCAAGTTATTTTGCAAGACGATGGTCAAAGATTAAAGACGCGGTTATGGGATCAGGAAGAGGCTTCCTCTGTTTTACATGTATGTGATGAACCTCTCATCTGTCGTATAACACTTATGTACGAGTATGGTCGACAAAGTTACTTCTCCAGCTGGTTCCAGGATAATTAAATTTGGATGGTGATGAAATGGTTTATAGTGTGAAAGCCGTGGTTGTGAATTCTCGTTCCAAAGCCAAAATTTCAATGTTTCTTCTTGATACACATTGATATATAGATTATCCAGCGCTGAGCATTAGCCAACTGAACTATCCTTCTCCTTCTGGCTTCAGCCTTTATGGTTCTGTCGCCCTGTGTGACATCTTTCTTATATTTCCTTTTACCAGTTCACTATCTAGTTGCTTTATAATATATGCTTATGATAGCTTTATGCAACGATGCTTTTCATACCGCTAAAGAGCGATTATTTGAAAGTTATGATCCGTACTGCCGCTGTTTAACTAAATAGAGAATATTTCTTGCATTTATTTTGTGGCGAAAAAATTGATCAGAATCTCAACTTGGCTGCATGCTCATCCAACGTTGATGAAAGCGATATGTATTCCTATCCTGGTCTGGTTGGGTTAGCGCGCGAAAGAACTGTAGCACACGATACTTTACTATTGAGCTTGTATGGTCATGGTTATATACAACCACTGCATATAAATGGCAGTAATTCCTGTATCTGTTGATATTGGATGACTTCCAAAACGTTTATACAGAATAAATAGATGGGGTGACACGAAGTAGAATAAAGTTTATTCGCTTTCTATTTCCAAGATAACTTCCAAAACTCGGTTTATCCATGATAAACATACTTCTTTAGTTTCCTCTATTTCTTCCTCTCCAGACATCATAGAATACGGTGCATATCTGGCTGATACGAACTTCAGACACACAGAAATTGTGTAATCTGAACAATACATGCAAGATTCGTCTACGATGATGCTCATTGGAGGTCGATGTCTTTTTATACAGACGACGTAAATCCATACGATGATGCAGGATGCCCACAGGATGATGAGAAGCATGTATGGTGAAACAACCACAGATGATAATAATAGAAGATATTTTCTATCAGATAACACATATCAGTTCAACATCATCACGAAGTGTACTTACATAGTAACTTGTCTACACGGATTAAGAATTACACTGTATGAACGAATGGGATAAACTCAACAGGACATGGAATTGACTTCAATATAGTAATGTGGTCATTACACTGCATGGCAGATGTCAAATACATCCTCAGATCCGCATGATTAGAACAAAGAAAAGGATTCTATACGTCCTCTATCCATTCAGGCAATTCTAAAGATAAAACACTATCTAAACTGCCATCGCTAATTCAATACACAAAAAGATATAAAAGCATAGAGCGTTGTATTCAATAAAGCATATCCGAAACTTCAAAGATACTTTTATAAGTTTCTTTTTATTCTTTGTACCATTGATTCACTTCAACGAGAAAAGGCTTTCGAATGACGAGACCAAAAATAAGATCATGTTTTATTGAGGGAAACTACTCTCTATTTATAATGATGATGAGTCCGAACGGAGAAGATGAATACTTTTGTCTAATTGTGGTATCACTTAATGCGAAAAAGACTTTCAAAAGACGAGACCAAAATAAGATGATGCTTTATTGAGGAAAACTACTCTCTATCTATAATGATGATGAGTTGGGATGAAGAAGATGAATACTTTTGTCTAATAGTCCAAAGGTCCATGTTATCGCCAAGTCTCTAATAGGGCTCTAAACGGGCCATGCCCGACGGGCATCGGGCCAGTTCAGCCGGGCCACACCTGTGGCCCGTGGCCCGTCGGGCCCAACGAAACGGGCCATGTCTTTTGCCCGAACCCGAAATTACAAGAGCCCAAATTAAAGTGGCCCGCCCGATGAAATCTACAATGTAAACGATCTTAATGCAGCAATGACTAATGTAGAAGTGAAATGGGGTTCTGCCTTGTGTTATCGTATATAAGGTTTGGGCAAAAGTCATCTTTATTGTATTAGATCATGTAATCGCTATCTTGCACACACTTTTTTGAAACAGCAGAACTTCTGCAAGCAACAAAGGAAGACCAAGAAGTACAAAAAGCCAAAGCGACACAGTGAGACAAACCAGCAATTCGACATCGCAAATGGCGTAGGAATGCATCCTGCTTTGCATTTTTTCAGCAACGTTTTTTCTCTCGATGCCCGTCAAATGGAATTCAGGTCGACCATATTGCTTCAGAACGAATTTTTAATCACCACATACAGTACTACTCGACCATATTTATTTTCCATACAACTGAATTTTACCATATGACTCAGCTTTGTTTTACCGGCACTCCATTCCATTTCGACATTGTGCATCCCAATCAAAAAAGGGTGGCTGCGTACATACTGTAATGGTGCATACACAGCCACCCTTATTGTTTTTCAAATAGGTACACTTTTTCAAGCGCACTACTCAAGATGAAGAAGGATGCTTGTCGTAGCTCTTTTTTCTTTATCCAATGGTTTTCTGCGAAGCACCACCTTTAGTAAGCCAAAGGTTGGTTTTTTTCGGTAATAAAGCGTCTGTATGGTCGAGACACTTTTCAATCACTATTGTTATCCTTTTTTTTCGTGTAATAAAGCTATCATTATACTGATCCACTTTATCTTCGCGTTCTACTTCTGCTTACACAATGCCAGCTGGAAATTATCTTTGCTTGAACACATAGCCCTTTCACACTAATACCGGTCCTATCCAAGTTCTAAGACATTTGCGGATTAGCGTGCTGCAGGCAGTTTGAATAGTGCTAATTGACGTAGCAGCCTTTCATTGTCGCAACTTGGCCCATCAACACCAATCATTGTGTAACCGGATCATTGTAGAAACTGCTCAACCTTTTGACAAATCTTTCCATATTAAAGATGTATACTTAGTTGATTAATCTTTATTTGCAATACACGGTTTTGATAGAATCAAATTACATATATAACAAGGGCCATTTAGATGGACGTTTCATAAAGAAAATACATATGCTTCACATTCGGGCACTCGGTCGGGCCAGTGGCCCGACGGGCGGGCCGCTATATAGGACCGTGCCCGTTCGGGCACCCACCTTCATACAGCTTTCCTGGCCCGATGCCCGAAAATGCCGGGCCAAAACGGGCGGTCCACGGGCCTGCCCGCCCGTATTTAGAGCCCTACTACAACGTTACCAGTAGGTAACATCTGTTCTGATAATAAAAATGCTATACTGCTAAAACCATAATTTGCTACCATCATTTTGCCAATTTTTGCTGCTAAAATTAATAACCGTATCAAATCCAAAAATGAGATGATCTCTGCCTCTTCCGAAATAAACGACGCATGTACCAAAACGGTGCCTCTGTATACATTTACATAAAAAGAAACCTTCTATACAGCTTTGATGTACCGCGCCATTACACCAAGATTAAAGTTAAAGTTGTATACCTGCCGTTTATATAAAAAACATGGGCCCTTCGATTCGCTGCTCATTGTCGTATCCTGACATACCAGTCATCCATTGTCTACATACCTTTCCATCTCAGCCTTTGTTACATCTGTTCCTTTATTTCGACATCAACAACCGCACAGTTATCTATTGGCCTGTTTACTGGCTTATGTGTCAGTGAGACCTTGATCTGGGTTCAGACTTCAAGAAGGACCATTCACGTTAACTCAGTCTCTGCATGATTATCCGCTCCTTCGTAATAAGGCAGTATGGTCATTAGGGATTACGGCGATAACACAGATTCAGCTCTGATAGAAAGGCATTCACCTTCTCCGTTCCGACTCATCATCATTATAAATAAAGAGTAGTTTTCTTCAATAAAACAATATCTTATTTTTGGTCTCGTCATTTGAAGCTTTCCAATTGAGTGATACCATACTCATTTCAATAATCCCCTAGTAGATTATTAATAACGTCGAGTTGCTCTGGAATAATCCCCTGTCTTGAAAACGTGGCATTACACCCAGGATTGTCAATAATCCCCTAGCATAATCTCATACTTCTTGCTAAGGGATTATTCCTTTTTCGCCCAGTGTTATCTTAACATGCATTTATCATAATAACCTTACCTATCTTAGTGAAACTCACATAACCCTGGTTATCACAGTGGTTCATGTGTCTTACAACCATGTTAATGATCCAACCCCTCGAGAATAAGCTTTTATTATTTAAAGTAATGATTCAACATACAAAATAAATCAGTCATTACTTCAGTCTTGTCACTTACCTGCCTCTTCTAATTGTTGAATATCATACTTTTGATGCTCTGATGAAGTTGAGGAGCCCTTGTAGCTTAGCGGTAAGAGCATCGTGCTTATATCAGAAGGATATACCAGAGGCACACGAAGGTCGCGAGTTCAATCCTCGCCTTGGGCATTTTATTTCGGCATTTTTGGAGGGTTGTTAGTGTTTTCTCGAATTTTTTGGAGTTTTTAGGGGTTTTTTCGGTGGTTTTTCCCACCCCTGCACTTGGTACGTACCAGTATGATGGATTGTATCGTGTAGGGTTGTGTACGAGTCGCGGAAACGTCGTTGGCAGGCTGTGGTCGATCAGCATGGAGGAATTGTGATTAGGATTTTATTTTGGAATGGCACCTGCGGATCCCGGTGGGGCTGGGAAGGATCAGCGGCGCCGAGACACGATTCGGAAGGCGGGTTGTATAGAATGCGCGATCGAGCAATTGCACTGTTGCGATGGAAATGGGACAATGGTTTCCATGGCAACAGTGGCAAGTATAGTGTAAAAAATAAAAGCAAAAAAAAATCCAAGACCGCCGAAACGGACGGCCGACGGACCAATCACCCTGGATACTGAATCCATCTTGCTGGTAATGCTTAGCACGACCTGATTTGGGGACTTGGTAAACGGGAATTGATGCAGATGTGCGTGTATATATTGTTACAGCAGTTCTGGTCCTCATGAAAGCCTGATAATAGCTGTGACACTAGCATTATGAATTAAATTCAGATGAATGCTAAAGGCCAGATATGCGAGCAAATCCAAACGCTTGCCCAATTCCAGACGCGGCTCGATATCCAGATATAAGAACATGTGTAAATTGTACAAGCGCCTCGGGAAAGCCATAAATAGTGCGTGTCAACTGTCTATAAAGCTGATCCTCCCAGTATAAAGTTCTTCATATAAGGTTCCTTCTATCTTAAATCTTCTTGCCCTGTATCACCAGAACCGCCAATTTGATATTTCTCGTTTATGTTATTACCGCCGTTCGGCAATGAATATAGGACCAATCTTGGAGAACCTCTGCGCTTACGAACACTAGCCTTTGTAAATTACTAGATTTTGTATAGAGTCTTGAAGAGTCATATCTTAAGCATAATTTGTTACTGTCTTTTTTAACTGTGTCTAAACCGTACAAGAACCGACATAACAATATCCTTATGAGTGCACGCTTATTTCATGTACATACGTATATGTATGAAAGGGTAAATTTTACCGCTCAGAATGGCAGAAATTAACCGTCAATAGCATGGCTAACGCCATAGAGCTACAATAATTATACGCTTGCACAGATGGTATGGTAACGAAAAAGTGGAAAACGAGAGAATAAGGCTAAATAAAGGTGTTTTTATTAACTGATGCACAGAAAGCTGTACATGCTTTAGGGTAGCAAGGCGCTATACAACCTCAATAGTAGTCATGACGACAAGAAAACTGTAATAGAGAATTAAAGACGCCATAAATATACTGGGCTACAATCGATGGAGAACATTTAAAAGAGGATGTGCATATATCAGCGAGACTGAGTATTAATGGTATAGTAGTAAGTCAAGGAACTTGAATGACCAGGTGCTGGTGAATAGGTTAAATGTGTCAAAGCATTTTTGAAGATGGTAACTTATTTGTCGTACAATGCAAACATTGTAACTGCAACATCAGCTTTCGCTTCATGGCACTTGTTTACGTTACTCTCTTGCATACATTCATTTCGTTGTAAGCTTTGTCGTAATAAAAGTGCTGGTTTATATTTTGTGTCATATAATCATGTTCAACAATGAACAATCTTAATGTTGATTAGCCATCACGTTATCAACAGCCCCAACCCAGAGGGCGTCTTGACCGGTTCACGTCTTACAGATACCTGTATTTCTCGGGTACCATCCGGTAACTTTGCTCGTTGCAAGATGGCCAAAGACGGTCTGTCCATGGCCATTGCGAGTCTTATACTTGTTATAAAATAATCATGTACTTTATCATCCATTATACCGTTTGTTCTTGTGATGGTACTACTGAATTTGTCGTAATAATCCACATACGTCGCAAATTGAACCATCTACTACGTAGAATTTGCTTAAAATTTGTGGTGTCACTAATCAAAATGAACAAAAACTAGAAACACAGTATCTTCATGTATATTCTAAACCTTGTAAGCACGGAACATGGAGAAAAAAGACTATTTTGTGTCTTTTTATGTCGATGCTTTCTCGTACTTTTCGACTGCTTTCATGCTTTTTCTTTCCGGCAGAGATCAAGTATTTAAAACAGAATGCGCAACCAGTGTTCAGTATAGAGTGCGTTGCCTCCTTAGTACAAAGGGACCCTGTTTACACTTGAATGTCCAGCAAGGTGAGATCGAAAGGCTTTCAAGAATTAACGAAAATGAGCATAAAATGTGTCAAATTTTCGTTTTACAGAGTTTAGGAATTTTTTCGTACGGGTTGGCTAGCTACGTGCTGCTTTTGTTTGGAGACATATTCTTCGTTAGCACTTTTCAGACGAACGCAAAACGGTTGCATCGCCTCACCAAACACTTGGGCAACTTCACCAAACGAAGACGGCGATCAAGAAACGCATTACGCAAATATACAGCGAATTATCGACACCATCAAAGCGTCGCTGATTACCCGTAATATAGTCAATCAGCCTATATACGATGGGTTGAATCTGTATTATCGAATGTTGACGGGGTATCTTCGTTAGGAGAAAGTGCGGACTATGGAAGCTTTAGATTTGCTAGTATGCGTTTCGAGGAAGGAGCGATCTATACACAGCTGGGCTTATCACACAAGAAATGATTCGTAATCCCAAGATATCATGCAAAACACCGCAACGGGAGCAACGGACGATGATATTCCAGTGCGGACCGATAAAGTACCCAAGTATACTACAGAGTAAGTTATATAGCTTTCGGGCTTTGCTGCGATTGATGGCCTGTTTTACACTTGCTGTACTATACGAGCAGGCAGGAAATGGCTGGAAAGTATACAGGAAGTCGAGCTGATCCTATCTACCGGTGGCTATTATATCATGGCCCTGACAGAATACTTAAGTTCAAAGTTCTCAGCAAATGTCCAGCGAATAAACCAGACCGCATGAACACTTTATAAGGTACCAATGAATTTCGCGCTCAAAAGGACAATTCTGTCTTTTTTGTACCCATATTCGGTTATATGCTGATCTGTATAACTTGCTTCCAGCATATATACTGAGAAACGGTGATATGGTCGATCATTGCGCATAGCTTAACATTTAAATAGGTTGCTTAGGGGTTTCATACCCATTGGCTTTGAGGCTCGGTCCCGTTTTGACACACAGGACCGCTTCTTGCCTGGTTCTCGACTGGGAACCTACCAAGGAAAGTCGCGAAAAAGCCAAAAAGTATTTCCATGAAACACTCTTCAGCGCAAGGTACCGGCGTGGTTCAAATCCGCTGGAATTAATGGCTCTTGTAGGCGAAGTGATAAAAAGGAACCTATGCAATACAAGGCGTACTTTGACACAGCAAAAAAAGAACTCTGCATTAATGACAACCGTTGCTGATGGTGGTTATATATAACTTTGAAGGCAAGCAATGTATCGACTTTTTTTTTGCGGATGTAGAAGACATGGGGTTTGTGAACACCGGTTATACTAGTACGGTATCCTCGGCGGCTACAAAGGTAGCAGATGGTGCTGTTCATTATGTAACAGTTTTTCTCGTGCGATTTAGTGCATAGTAACAAAAAGTTAGTGCCTAATGTAGCTAGTAATATTTTACTCACAACAAAGACCTGTATAGCACCAGTTTATTCGCTGCACCTTTGCAAATTCGGATACACCCCATCTTTTTCAGAAACATTTCCTTGGCTTTGGTAGCCGCTACATATGCCATCGAATTGGGCAATGGATCACAACGGAAGAAAATGTGAACTTTGGAAAGCAGACAAGTCGCACCCACGGAAACTGCAAAGAGGACAATGGCTTTGGGTGTTCAAAGCGGGTGCCGCAGGTAATAAGCGAGTTGCACTTATATCCACTTGACCTGGTTTTTCCAGATCATATAATGGAGGAAAACGGTACTTTCAGATCTCATTGCAAGCAACAAGCGGATCAATGGGTGAACATTCGGTACATTTGCGAGTCAGACACGAAGGAATCGCTAGAAAGTGGATGCAGACTCCTGGACACCATGGCAACAAGGGTGCTTCTGGGCAAAAATCGCTGCAATGACACCACGGATAATTATATGGGTGGAGACATTGGAGTCCGCTTGAAATAAGACGCTCACTGCCCAAAATTTCGTTTTGTTGCTTTCACCCGCGCGACTCGATCTGAACAAAAAAATAAAATGTCTCAAGCAGCCAGTGCGAATTCAGCCAATAACAACAATGGCTCAGCTTCAGCTGTTGTTGGACGGCCTGTTGGCCGATCACCGTTACGACCTCAAGGCGAAGGCAATGTGCCGTTTTCAAAAATGGTGTTTGATGGCAAACGCATGCGAAAAGCTATTCAGCGAAGAACAGTGGATTATAATCACAGCCTAACCCGATGGATGCAGGTTCGTACGATTGATTGTTTCAATCTCGCTTTTCTTTCAGGAGGATCCTTCTCGGGGGATAGTTTCTTTCTTTATTGTTCCTTTGCGATAATAAAAGAAGAGAATATGTTGACTGAATATCCGCTGTGCCCATTTGCTTGTGAATTTCGTCTAGGAGCGTGTGTGGATACGTGATCGAAGGGACACGCGGTATCTACGGCCAGATGCAAACTTCATTGTCGAAGTAAGTCCTTATTCATAAGCAGCGTAGCAAGCAGCAGGTGTGTAATAAAGAAGCGTCAATTCTAGCTACTGCCGCCCGTTGCTTACCTTGACCACCCCATCAATGCTGTGACCACAAAATTCGTTCATACTTCGACAAACAAGATAAGATATCCGGTCAACGTTGTTCGGGTACGCACTGCCTTATCCATCCAGTGCCCATCGCTGACGTACGCATCCTTTTCTAGTGGACTCCAGAAGGCCGACGACTCATCACCGGCTCCTCCAGCGGAGAGTTTACCCTGTGGAATGGTTTAACCTTTAATTTTGAGACAATCCTTCAGGTAACGCAGCCGTGCGATATGGTTGGGGTTGCTGCTGACACGCCCGTCCATCGTA